ATATATATATATATATATGTATATATATATGTATCCCATGTTCAAAGGCTGTTAAATCGCGTTGTTTACCCCTATCTTCAGGAAAAAATCACTTCTACTGTCGTGGTAAACAACCTGCTTCCCTATTTATAATGGTCTGGCCCTCTAGCAACTTCAGCGCGAAATTATAGTTAATTTGCCTACAAACGTCAGGTGGTCATAATAATCTGGCCACTCAATATATATCCCAACATATAGCCCAGTGACTGTCCAACAGTAGAAGTTAATAAACATTTGTTAAATCCTATATAATAAAAGGGTAATATGCAAAGCAACCAAAAGGTGGAACAACCGGTCGTTATGAAGCTCACTGACCACCAGGGGGCAGATGCTCAACGCAGGAGCTGCCCCCTGGGGGTCAGTGTGCTCCCACAGGGGGAGCACTGTTCAGCCACAAGCCGGGTTGAATGCTGGTGAGCACAGCAGCGCTGGCAGGAGCCTCTCCTGAACAGCAGCGCTAAGGATGTCCAACTGCAGCTTAGGCCTCTGGGGAGCGGGCCTAAGCCATCAGTCGGACATCCCCCGAGGGCTCCCGGACTGCTAAAGGGCACAGGCTGTGCTGAGGGAGCCTCCCCCTACCCGAGTGCGTAAATGTCGTGCACTGGACTCTAGTAACTATATAAGTTAGTATCAGAATGAAGTCATAATTCCCTATGGCCTTAATCCCAATGTATTTCCTTCCTCTATAAAATTTGACAAGTGTTTCAAAAATTAAGCTGACAGCCCTACCTGGTTTGGCTCAGTGGATAGAGCAGTGGATAGATCATTCACCTGCAGACTGAAGGGTCCTGGGTTTGATTCTGGTCAAGAGCACATGACTGGGTTGGGGAAATCGATCCCCAGTAGGGGGCATGCAGGAGGCAGCCAATCAATGATTCTCTCTTATCATTGATGTTTCTAACTCTCTCTCCCTCTCCCTTCCTCTCTGAAATCAATAAACATATATATATGTACATATATACTATGCTGACTTTCTTTTTGAATGAACTTACCTCAAAAGGATGCCTAAGCTGGCTGCATAGGCTTTTTTAGGAATCTCATGGAACTTAACATTTTTCACAGTGGGATTTTCTATTCTCTAGAATGTCTATACTTTGTACAGAAGTTGACAAATGCCTACATCGAGGAATGAACAATATTTGCTTACTGGTTACTTCCCAGCTGCCTCTTTTTTCCTAATCTCTGATTCTTTCACTGTACCTTGTATACCAATGCCAAGCAGGTCTGGCAAAGTCTAGACCTGTGTTTAAATTCCCATCAACCCTCCCAACATTTGAAAAAACAAAGAAGTGAGATGACATGATAATAATGCCCTGGTTCTTGCTTCAAGATTAAAGATGTTCCAGTTACAAAGTCAAACCTGCAGGAAAAGAAAACCTTAAATAAAAACACCACTTTTCAACCAACTGAGCCACACTGGCCAGGCTGGGCTTTTCTGATTCTTAAACTAAACTTGGTATCATAAAGCTGTCCTTATTTATGAAGAGTAAACAAAGTCTAACCCCAAGAGTCCCTAAACAAACACTGATTCTAGTTTTTCATGATTGTGTAAAGCTCCTTTGCTTACATAAGTCTACTAGGACCCTGCATTTTGGTTCAAAAATAACAACTATTCAGAGTATCAACTGTACAAGCTCAATGGGAGAGATGTGGCTCATCAGCAGAAACAAAATTTGGGTTTTTTTTAATCGATAGTAAGTACACTGTTACTTAAAAGTGTGGGTTTTGCCCCGCTGGCGTGGCTCAATGATAGAGCATTGACCTATGAACTAGAAGGTCACAGTTCAATTCCAGGTCAGGACACATGCTCGAGTTGTGGGCTCAATACCCAGTGGGGGGCATGCAGGAGACAGCTGATCAATGATTCTCTCTCATTATTAATACTTCTATCTCTTTCCCTCTCTGAAATCAATAAAAATATGTATATTTTTAAAAAGAGTGTGAGTTTTTATTACCAAGAAAGCAATGTGATCTTAGCATTAGTAAAAGTATACAACAAAGGATGTCAAGTCCTGCTCTACTCTGTACCAATTAGAGCATACCTATAACATTGAGTCCCACAATTTAAGAGAGGTAGAATTAAACTGAAGAATATTCAGAAGAAAGTGATACTCATATGCACTGAAGGAAGTAGGTCTGTTTAGCACAGAAAAGAAGACTTAGGGGAAATATCTAGGCTAACTTCAAATATCTTAAAGAAGCAATCCAAGAAGAATAGCTGTTGAAATAATTTTTAATCCTTTTAACCCTGAGATGATATCATCTCATGTTTACATAAATTCCTCCAAATATTTGAAACTATAATATTAAAAATCATTATATGTGCTAGAAATTAGAGTTAGCACTCAACTTTTATCTCACCATATTCACACCAAACTCATGCGACAATCGCCTATGAAGCCAATTATTTATAATAAATAACATAGCACTTACTTTTATTTGCACATTTGATGAAATATTTAACCAAGCTACTGATTTCTTGCATTTTTTTCTGCCTTGTGGCTTGTGTTGAGGCAGAAACATTTGGTTTTGCTGTTTTCAGACATTCTGTTTCTTTCTGAATATATTTCTGTAAAAATCTTCAGGGGAAAAAATGAAATTTTTTTAAATTCTTAAATTTAAAAAATTTAAATTTAAATACTTAAATTATTATAATAGCTTCAAAAAGTTCTTCATGCCATCATAAAGAACATCTTATAAATCATAGTTTCAATCAATGTACCAACTAAATGATATAAATTTCTTTTTCAATGCCTTAGCCCCAGAATACCAATTTAGAATCTGGTCTGCTCTTAATCTCTAACCTTCATGATTTTCTATTGTTTTATTTACTGCCTGCTTTCTTATTTTATCACTAGTGGCCCAGTGCAAGGATTTTTGCACATTGAAAGGAAATTAAATAGAAGAAATATTTTAATATCGCTATTCGTCCTTTCTCTGTAACAGAAATGTCAACCAAATTCATGATCAACAATGACAGATCGAAACACATGCGTGCGAGTGGCGCTAGCGAGAGTTTTATATATCTCACACACGCGCGGTAATAGAAACGTCAACCAAATTCATGATCAACAATGACAGATCGAAACACATGCGTGCGAGTGGCGCTAGCGAGAGTTTTATATATCTCACACACGCGCGAGTCAACTTAGCCTTTTATATGTATAGAATAAACTTGCTTAATTAGACCTGCTTTCTCATGTAGCTAAACTTTTTCCAGCCCAGTGAAGCACTCCAACTTCTCTTTCAGATAATGGTCAGCAACACAGCATTAAATATCAACGCAAAGCAGAGTATTATTGTCGATCACGCAGGGAGAACAAAGGGTAAAATATTTAACTGCAGCAGAACTTAATAGTTGAAAATTGTCTTAATGCATCAATTCTCTTTGAAGTCCAGCAACCAATTATAGCTTTCCAATTATATGCCTGAATTTTATTTAACTGCATTCATATATAATTATTCTAAAATTCCTTTCACTTTTCTATTATAATTTAACATCTGGTAGTTTCTTAAAGTAATATTTAAAGTTGTCAAAGTAATAATAATGCACTTGTCATAACTTGACCTTATTCTCTAATTTAAAACAGTCTTATGAACTAACTGATATGAAAAGAATTCTCTCTACTCTTGAATGAAATATGCATAAGACATTTTACTGAAAAAATGATTTATAATTAATTGTCTCTATATAAACATCTATTAAAAATTATGTTTCAGCCCTGGCTGGTTTGGCTCAGTGGATAGAGTGTCAGCCTGCAGACAAAAAGGTCCCAAGTTTTATTCTGGTCAAGGGCACATGCCCGGGTTGTGGGCTCAATCCCCAGTAGGGGGCATGCAGGAAGCAGCAATCAATTATTCTTTTTCTCCCTCTCCCTTCTTCTCTGAAATCAATAATAATATATAATTTTTAAAATTATGTTTTAGATAAATATTAAGCGCCAACTTCATATGCAAGGCACAATGTTATACAGGAGACAAAGAGAAATAAAATCTAAATATAGACCCCAAAAATCACTCACAAGAGAAATAAAAATAAAAAACAAATACAGTAAAAATATTAGAGCCTGGCTGGCATGGCTCAGTGGTTGAGCATTGACCTATGAACCAGGAGGTCACAGTTCAATTCCCGGTCAGAGCACATGCCCAGGTTGCAGGCTCGATCTCCAGTAGGGGGCATGCAGGAGGCAGCCGATCAATGATTCTCTCTTATCATTGATGTTTCTATCTCTCTCTCCCTCTCCCTTCCTCTCTGAAATAAATAAAAATATATTTTTTTAAATTAGAATAAAATACCTAAAAACAGCATCCCAATTCAAATATTTTCCTTGTTTGGAATCTGAATGTCGATCTAAATGTTGAACAGTTTCAGGATCCCGAATTAGTTGCTTAAATTTCTCAACTTCTTTCTGAAAATGAAAAAACAAGCACAATAATGGGTTACCAATCACACACTTGTTTCAAGCAAAAACTAAATTTAAGTAATTTACTACCCTTCGTTCCGTAGCTCTATCATGTTCTAGTTGACGGCAGCAAATAAGCAGATCATTAAGCGCTAGACTCATGGTTCAGGATTTCAGAAAACACATCACTGTAAAAACAATACATACATAAAGTTATTTCAGACCGTGTCATTAAAATATAGTTAGAGCTACAACTACAGACATATTGTGATCAAGGGCAGGATGGTTTTTCTTAACATTTCCATACTTAGATGAGGTTTTCTTAGTATATACCACAACAAAGCTTCAACATGCAATGTGTACTTTGTGTGCAGGAGCAAGATAAAAATATGAAAGTTATCATTTATTTTTCTGAGACCTCTTCTAAGAAACACGACATTTACATTGAAACACAGCCCTAACCGGTTTGGCTCAGGGGATGGAGCGTTGGCCTGCGGACTGAAAGGTCCCAGGTTCGATTCCAGTCAAGGGCATGTACCTTGGTTGTGGGCACAGCCCCAGTAGGAGGTGTGCAGGAGGCAGCTAATCAATGTTTCTCTCTCATTGATGTTTCTACCTCTCTATCCCTCTCCCTTCCTCTCTGTAAAAAATCAATAAAATATATTTTTAAAATAA